CGGGCAACACGCCTCGAACACCCGGAGAAGTGGACATGGACAAATGTAGGAATTACATGTTGAGGAAAGTAAACTGACTATATAACACAACACAACACGACACATTGCATTGCATTGCGTTACCACATATCTACATGCAATGCATACACTACATACACGACATACACGACATACATTACATAGATTACATAGATTACATAGATTATATACATACATTACGTTTCGTTTCGTTTCGCTACGCTACGCTACGTTACGTTCCGTTACGTTACATTACGTTACGTTACGTCACACACACAGACACAGACACAAACACACACAGACACACACACACACACACAAACACATGTGATGTGATCAATTGATTTATGGCCCCATCTGACCAATTCTTGATGAATTTGGCCGTATAACCCCATCGCCCGCCTCTTCAGTGCTGTCGGACGGAACTGCAATGGATGTATTTGACATGGCGAAGCTGTTCGCGTGTGGTCCCTGGGGTCCACAGATTTTGGAGCACCACTTTCCCTTGAGCCGGAACTTCCAAAGCAAGGAGTTCGCCGCAGTTCCAAAGAGCTAATTCCACATCCCGAGATATTGGAAGCAACCACAATGCAGTACTCGTAGACTAGAACAGATCAATAAATATTTTATTTATTGCATATTATTAAATAAATATTATTCAGGAGAGTCCTAGCTGGGGTTAGCCTGTGAAAGGAGAAACTTCTGTCAGTTCATGTCATGCATGGATGAGCGTATAGCCATATCATACCATAATGAAAAACGATGAAACACATTGAATAATGCTTTTGGATGCCTTTTATATTGCAATATGTTGGTTTTGCTCAGAAGCTCCGCTTCGAGGTTTCAAAGATGCTTGGTGCCTTTGTCTTGAAGTCCTGCATGGTGCAGTTGGCCTCCTCGTTGACAATGGTGATGAAAAGCCTGAATTACGTCTAGCTCAGTGATGGAGCCTGGGGGGTGTAAAAGTGCAAAGAAAATCAAGGTGGAGCTGGACCAAATTCTCTATATGGTTGTTGATCAAAATTCCTTTATCCCGGAACGGCCATTCTTCGCGAATAAAAATTTTACTTTCGCGAAACTTTCGCGAACTCCATGTTTATCTTTCGCGGGGCCCATGTTGGCCAACAACACCTCTTATGAAGATTCGTTCACCACCTGCCAAATTACGCCAGAGAATCACGGATCACTTCTTGGTAGCCTTTTAAACATGCAGCTAGCATCACGGAATCCCTTCTCAGGACAGATTCTTTTGTGCAAAGTTTACTGGCCCACCCCCTTCAACATGCACTTTGACTTTCGCCCGCTCTTTCGCATAACTTTCGCGGAACTTTCGCGAAAATATCCCTATTCACAGACCCCGGCCATCAGCAGGGGGAGCACTGAAGGAAAAGCGAAGACCAGGGGCCTTGGTGTTTGGCTCTCGCAAAGCCTCACTTTTGGAAACTTGGCTACTGCTACTCGCATTCTCTGGTGCCCTTCTCCTGCCGGACCCCGGGCGGCAGTGGGTGGCTGCCCTTTACATATAATGATTATAATACCCAACTTTCGCGAAACTTTCGCGAAATAAAATTTTACTTTCGCGAACTCGAAAAAAAACTTTCGTGAGGGTTTCCAACATAACACGCACGGCTTTCGCAATTAAAACTCCTTACAAGGACCTTTCTTTAGATCGATCACCATATATATTTCTCCTACCAGTACGGAGGAAGTGAGCATGTGTGACTAGGCACGTCTTGTTTCATCATGTTAATCAAGGAAAACTGGAACTGGGGAGAGCATGTCGGTGATTAGCGACTTGGAAAGTACAACCTGGCCCAAGTCCAAGTACTTGGAACATCTTGGAACGCATGCCCCTGGCGAAGGCATTCACTAGTTCCTGCTAACGAAAAACAAAAGGAAAGCGAGCACAGTTATAACACAGCTGTGCCACAGTCGCTACCATCCGCCCGCAATCTGCCACATTTTGTCGAAGGAACTCCAATCCAGAAGGCTGCAGTGCGTCCCTGACACAAATTGCAAATGATTAAACACAATGCTTGAGTGTTCTCAGTCAGGAATTGCGGGGAAGATTCCGCAAAACAAATCGCCTTTAGCATCAAAACGGAAAACTCGCGCTGCAAAAAGGAACATCATGTGCCCTGTGTGTGTGACATAGTTGCACCCCTGTGAAAACCCAGATCAATGTCAAATAGATTCAAATAGTATGTTCTTACACTGGCGTAAAAACTGGCACGGAAATTCACAAAACAATTCACACCAACAACTTCTGAAAGTTCCACGGATTTTCAATAGTTCAGTTCGTTCAATCAGTGCTTTGGCTTGGTGCCTCCGGTAACAAGTACGTCCCATGCCTCTCACTCTTACAGTCTTACAGCATCTTACAATATCTTGCCTCAAATCTTGAGTGTGCTATCATCGATCGCCCCGGCCACAGCCCATCAACCCCCCAGTCCCGTTCAGGATTTCCACGTCGCAACTAGTCCTGAGCTGGTGCCGTTGCCAGAGACATGCCCTAGCCACCCTAGCATCATCTAGCATCCTACAAAATCTACGAGAAGTATACTGCAGTACAGCGTGCCGCTGACCAAGGCTACCAAGGGTGTGACGCCGACGGTGTGACAAGCTCATGCAACCCCACAAGCATGAAACCAAACGCTTCAACGTTGCGAATGTACGTGCTAATATTTTATGTTTTGCAAGTTCTACAATGCAATTCTAACTCTATAGGCCCAACTTCGAAATTTAAATGATTGAAATGGGCTCACATTGAAGTCGCGGCAAATAAATCTACACAAACCGCAAAACAATTCATCATGGAGGAAGTATGCTCTGTCAGTCCAGCTCTTCACTATCACACAGGCACATGCACACAAACACAAACACACACACACACACACCCACACACACTGCTGACTGTAAGTAACTTACTCTGAAGTGGACCTTTAGAATGTTCAAATAGTTGCCGCCTGAATGTTACCGAAGAATCCACCCTGGCAGTAATATATGAACCGAGCAAAGGTTTGCATTCAAACCTGACAAATACCTGAAACAACCTCAAATTTGTAACCGGTGATCACAACAGTCTTGCAGGTACGCATGGCTGATCAAGCCATGCATCACCAGGGAAACCAGGGTGTCTTCGTTGGTCATAGGCCCTGGACCCTGCTACCACCCCCTGCTGACTTTTAGAGTGATTTCAAAAATTATTCTTAAATGGTTCTTTCCCGCATGATACGTAGCGGGTTTCACAAACCAACAAACCAACAAAACAACCAACCAACCAACCAACCAACCAACAAACAAACAAACAAGCATCCAAACAAACAAACAATCCAAACAAACAGGTAGAAAGGCAGACAGACAGACAGACAGACAGAGACAGACAGACAGACAGACAGATAGATAGATAGATAGATAGACAGACAACAACCAAACAAACAAACAAAGAAAGAAAGAAACAAAGACAAACAAGACAAACAAGACAAACAAGACAAACACGACAGACAGACAGACAGACACAGACAGACACAGACAGACACAGACAGACACAGACAGACACAGACAGACACAGACAGACAGACAGACAGACAGACAGACAGACAGAGACAGACAGACAGACAGACAGACAAACAAACAAACAAACAAACACGCACACGCAAGATGCACACACACACACACTGCTGATGGGAGCATGTTACTGAGTAACATTACTCGAATGAGGAACTTTATAGTGATGAAGTAGTTCATGCCTTGAGGGTTCCTAGGTCCAAAATCCTGGTCAGTCGAGTAGGGAAAGCAGTGGGAAACTCTGATTTCTGAGATAATCTCAAATTAGCAACATATACGCATGAAAATGGACAGCTTGTTCAACAGTTCAAAACCAACTTCTGCAGGTACAGGGAGGTGATCAGTCTCCCCTTCCCACCAATGGCAATAGCTTCGTTGCGTGCAGTATGCCAAAGGGGCTGCACGCCCCTGCATCTGATGGATTGTTTGAATCAACTTGTTAACAGAAACTCAGGTCCGCATGAGTGATAGCGGATTTCACACACACAATGGCCCCCCCGGCAGGGGAGGCAGCTGCTGGTGAACGCTGTTTTTCATCGCAGTATCAGTTTGCAATATATACATGTCCTAGAAATTCTTGTACAACATATGGGAAAGGTTCACTGTAAATCAAATGGTCTCCTTGGGACAGAATAAGGGTCCGGACTGCGTTCCCGTTGGAGAGCGACTCTTCTGAAAACGATCGGTTGAAGGGAACGAGGACTGAACAGATGAACCATCAGCTGCAGTGAAAGACCGATCTTGACGTCGATGTGATGTAGAACTTGCATTTTCAGAAAGTGGCTCGATCAAAACGTTCTTGATACTCGAGCGTGTCTGACCATCATAACTATAGGGCTCCCGGACTTGCGATCTGGATCGTTCACTTTCATTTTCGAAACGAGACTCAACTGAAGCGTTCTTGATACTCGAACGTGTCTGACCATCACAAATATAGGGTTCCCGAACTGGCGATCTGGAGCGATCGGTGAGACGTTTCCGAAGGGACCACTGTTCCGAAGTATTGCTAAGTTCACGCAACGAAGGCATCGTAAGAAGGAGATAGATTGGTTTGAGTTTGAGCTTAAATATACTCTTCAAAATTCAAAAACGTGTGATTCGAACTGTCAAAGTCAAGATTCGCAATCGGCAAAAGTATGATGAAAACAACTGAGTTGAGAAAAAAACACAACATGAACATAACTGAAAAGGTAAAAGAAAAAGAAGAAAACAGTGTGACGTTATCGAACTTCAGATGAAAAACGTCAAAGAATGCCCATTGATGAAAATGTCCAACATCAAATGACTTCACGAAAGTGATGGCGAATGACGACAAAACACGACAATGCGAAATCCAGCAACTGTTTTGTCTGCGTTTCCTGTCATGGTATCTAGTCAACGTGAAAAAGAGAATCAGGATCAAGTTGTGGATGACGTGAGCGTACCAATTTGATAATCTGACTTCTCAAAGTAGAAGACAATACATCACGTTGTCGTCGAGACCAAATGGACAGAAAATCTTGAATTTGAGGTATTTGTAGAGAACTGGGCCATGTATTCTGCAAAATGAGACGAATTCTGGCCAGAGCTCCGGACGTGAGTGCCTTAGTCGTACTTGAACTCCTTGTTGAACGAAACGCTTTGTCCACAGGTTGAAGATATGTAGTTGTACGCTGTAACACGTCAGCGTTGTATCCTAACAATTCAGATCCTTCAACTTGTTCAAGTAGAATGGGAGGTGAATAGAATGAAAGATTCCAAAATAACTGCATTTCTGAGTTCCAGTGTCCCACAGGAAGTAGCATCACTCGATTGTCAACGTAACGATGATGAAAAGTGGAATTGTTGGTAAATTGACGAAAACAGGACAGAAAAGTATGTTCTCGCATGAGTGCGACAGCTGCACAGAAAATAGGTGCCCATTGACTACCCATGCTGGCACCACGTTTTTGTAAAAATGTAGACATTCCGACGGTGAAAAAACTGTGATTCAACAGAAAGCTACAAATAGGTAGAATGTCGCCCAAGCGAATATCACGATACATCTTGGTGTGTTGTCGCCATTGACCTCTAAAAACTCGCAGGGTGCGTTCATGTTGATATACGTGTGCTTGAAGTACAGAATCGAAGGTCTGTCCATGTTGTAAAATATATTGATGAATGGCGAATTCAATAGATCCGAGAATGCGGTCATGTTCAACTTGGTTGTAGAAACCAGCAATATCAGTCTGAAAGAGAAGAAGGTCAGCACCATGATCAATTTGGAAAAAGCATTTGATTTCGTTCATCACCTTGTTGATATCACTGTAGCGAAGTAAGGATGGATAAACAACTTTCAAAATATCTTGCAACACCACAGACAAAATATAACCCATCTGTTTTGGCCAAGATCGACTGTAATTAACGATGGGTCGTGCTTTCATAAACGAGCGTGAAGGTTTTGGAAGAATATACGCCTTGCTTAATGATAAATGAAAATCGAAAGCCCAAGGATATCTGTCAGTGATCCATCCAGGAAGATCATACTGAATATTCTTCAGAATAGTGGCTGAATCAACATTACAAAGATGAAAAACAGAGGTGTCTTGAAATGTCTTACACAGCAAATTGTGCCACTGGACAGGACAATGTAAGGTGAGAGACGATGGAAAATGATCTGCTGGGGAAGCAATAAGTCCGTCGATCCTTTGTCGAGCCTGTCGAATACGTTTTTGAGTGTACAACTGACCTGAATCAAGTTGCAAATTCCAACAGTCTTGTAGAAAAGCCTGCCAATACTGGATCAGATCTCGGCGAAGTTTCCAACGTCGTAACCATTTTTCAAATTGGAAGGTGTTTTGATGGAAAAATTGTGTCCACGTAGGTGTAACTTCATCTTCCAAATGTGCAGTCAGAATAGGATCCAGTGGAAAACATTCCGAGGCGAAGGATGAAATATGATCTGTTTTCCGTGGATTGTGTTGAACATGAAGAGGAAACAACTGACAAGCACACTGAGGGCGAAACTGAGGTGTCCACAACTTTAGAAAAGAACGAAAATTGTACAAATATTGAGCTAAAGTTCGATTTTTCACTGTCACAAACGGTGCACGAACTTTGTGAAAAATGGGAAAGTTACAGCGATGATGGTGAGTGAATCCCAGCAACCATTGTCGAAATCGACGTTCCATTGTATCCGACGAAACCTGTAACTGCATGGGTATATTCGCTGGTGGCGATTCAGTAGCATAGAATTTGAAAATATAACGCAATTGAGATTGTGCTCTGGTCCGAAAAGGTTCCGACATATGGTGGCTCAAGCGCCATAACAAGAAAATCAACTGCACATTTGACAACTTCGAACGTAGAATGCGAGAACAAATGAACTTGTCATGCGTGTCAGAACCAAGGGAATACAGGAAAATGTACAAACTTGTAGTATCCGTAATCCGACGACTAAGAATGCATTGAGCAGTTTGCAGACTGCGTTTGCGAAATCGTTTCACAAATTTCATCCCTTGAGTACTGGTCTTCAAAGTTGAAGGTCCTAATTGTTGCTTACCAATCCGAAGTTGTTTCATCAAAGGATTGATCCAAGGCCAATTGTAAATGGGGCGAAAAGTCCTTTGGCATGCTGTTTCAACTGCAAGAAGCTTGTCAACGTCAGTCTGGAGTAAAGGAAAACCAATAAATTGAAAATAATTGCGTTGTGCTGACCAGGCCTTCAAAGCTGGTTCGTAGTAAGCAAGTTGGTCTTTCTTTAACTGTCGGTATTTTCGTAACCGACTCTGTTCTCTCGAAAACATGGTTTGTTCAGTAGAGCCAATGTAAAACCGAGCATTTCGAAAATGTAAACGACAGTACACGATGCTCGACCTGTTCCACCATGTCCATGACAAAATTTCTGGAAGTTCGCACTGCCGCAAAATAGTCAGAAGACGTCGATTTTTGGCTGAA